ACCGGGTCAACTCTGACACAAACTCGTACATTCACTTGTTAAAGTCATCACGATTTTTGCTTTCTATGAGGCCACAGCGCATCTGGAAGGCTGAGTTGTGATGTGCCGTCTATCAGGTCTATAAAATTAACTGTTTGATTTTTGTCTATCCAAAAGAACCATAAGTAATTCCTTTGACGAGTTACAATAAAATTTTGACAAACATACCGACATGGAAAAAGGCCTGCATCCATCTATAAACCATCCTTACTTCTGGTATACACCCTAGCCTTTACGTCACATAGCGTTCACATATCGCGTTTTTTGGTCCATTTATCAATATTTAAATTTAACCGTTATATCTCGTGGGAGACATTTATATACTCCTATAACTGACATTCGATTTACGTATACCCTGACGAGAAAAAAATAGACTTGGCTCATTGATAATCAAACTCGCATTTCTCGGTTTTGAGATGTTTTTTTTTTCTGATACCAATTTAGGGGGAAATTCATTGAAAAGTAAAAACAAAATGACGAGAACATTTTTATGAACTTCAACGAATGAAGTCAGATTGCTTAGGCCTATATGGACAAGCATAATATGCTTGTTTTTAAATATTATAAATAAATTATATTTATATTAAAAAAAAGCTATAGGTGTTTAATGCATGCAATTGTTAAGTTTGGATTTGGACAAAAGTGATACATAACGTTATAAACAAAATGAGGCAAATGGTAAAAAAGGCATACGTTAAACTCTGCATACATGTTTTGCTGTCAAGTGTCTTTTACATTTTTTTTTGATCGCAAATATATAATGACGTATATCAATAAATTCAAGTAGTATAGCTTTTAAAAAAATATCTGGGTGTAATTCGGTACGAACGTGGTCATACCTTATTCTTTTTAAGTACATCTTTCGCATATAATCCACAATATCCCGTCTGCATTGGCATCGGAGGATTACTGCAAATCTTCTGTATACGATTGTTATATTAATACATCTGAGTATTGACTTACGATATATATCATCAATTCAGTACACCCCCACTTCGTGAACTCCGCGACCGGCGAGTGTAAACCGTGAAGCGATAGTTGATCTATTCAGAAAGGAAACCGTGCACCTACGTAAAAGTGTCGTTTGCAGACAGCGGCCCACCTGTTTTATCCCATGGGTATACACATCGGTGCCTTAGCCCAGTGTACCCACGCAGCACGCGCGGTATGGGTTTGTTAACTGCGCGTAATGGGTGTTTTTACAAAAGGCAGGTGATTACAGGGGGTTCCCCTCCCACGCGCGGCACGCACGTGCCGTTTGAAGTGTTGAACAGGCGGCTCGGCCGCTGCACTATGGTCAGACTCGGCTGTGGGACACGTGCGTTGGTATTCAGCGGCCTTCCAATTGACCGCATATGAACCCTTCGACTGAATTAAAAGAAGGGTTCCACTAGGAATTCACCGATGATCTTAACTACAGAACCCCGGCAGGCGGGTATTTGCATGGCAATTAGACGATCCAGTACGTAAAATATCAAAGTTAACTTTCAACCATTCTTACTAGGCCAATCGCTAAAGTTTTCCAAAATATGCTTATGGAACAGTTTCCAATCCAAACTATTATCTAAATATGCTCTTTGAAATTGAAAATGAGTGGAATTATATATTATCATTTTATATATTGATGGGTCGTTCTATAAACTTGAGTCCAACGTGTGACATTTTTCATGTCCCCGATACCTTGGAACTTTGTAACTTGCCATTAAAGTATCATTAAGAATGACTTCAAATTAGTTTTTAGTTTGTTGGATAGGTAGTTTAGTACTATTGATTATCACTCCCTAGAGGACGACTGCATTAAGGATTTCGTCCAGAATTATAAAATAATAGATGCCAAACAGGGACAGGGAAAACAATGGACCCCATAGAATGACGTATATTGGCCTATCGACCGTCCAAACCAGATCTAAACTGGATCGTTCAAGTTGTGGTTAATTTACTCACATACAGTAATGCGTAAAAATTAAACATCATCATGCAATCTCTCAAAATATTTATCCGAATGGTGGACGGTTACATGTTTAAATTCAATTTCCAACAACATTTAACTCATGGTGATTCCAACGCACAGTGTCTTTACATTTTCAAGCTCGAAATGAAACGGCAAGGACAGAGTAAGGACATTAAATGAATGCAACTCAATCCGGTTAACATTCTTATTATAACGAGTACTTGGACGTTTCATCTATAGCGTTCGCAAGACGACTTTGGAGATTATATATAGTCTTCAGGATACCAGGCATTTCTTCGCGATACAGCACATTTGACGGGATAATTCTTGTAAAAAAAAGAGAGGCTAAAACCAAGAATCTAAACTTAATCTCCGATTACACTCGTATAAAATATGTATTTCAACGATTAAGTAATGATATATGAAATAGAACTGCTCCGGAACCCCCCCCCCCCCCGAAACAAAATATTTTGAAAATCAGTGGGGGTGGGGGTATATGGGAGCTTGGGATACTTTAAACGGGGAACATCTATAAATTACAAATGTTATGAAGTATATTTTAAGGTTTTTAAAAAATATTATTTTGTACTGAAACATTTCATGTACAAAAATATCACGGGGGATCCCGCTTTCTATCCCGTACCAAACAGAGAAAATATCCACCAAATCAACAGTATTTACGCTCGTAACCGCGATTATAGGTAGAGTATTATTTTGGATTATTATCATCAAAACAACAACTTTCATTTTATTCCTAAAGTTGGTAATTATATTATTACCAAGCGATCAGCCTATACAGGACACGAGCAAAGAGGAAAAACATATTTTCCTGTGAGTCTTTCCCACTATTTCCCTAATTTTCATCTGGCTAATCTAATAACATCGCTTATTAGTATCATATCTCAACCCAATTACACGTTGATTGACCATTTTTGAACTGATGGTTGTGTTTGGTTACTGGCACCGTGTCCTCTGCCAAAGAGGCCGCCGTGAGTCATGCGTCTCATCGCCCACCAGACTTGAGCAGGCAGCCCGCTTCAAGCACCTCGGCCCCCTCGCGTTTCCGGAGATCAGCAAAAATTCTGGAAGTAATTCATTTGTAATTTTGCAATCCATTCCCGGGTCATTTCGCAACAGTTCGAGTTTTTTAAAAATTACAATCAAGGTGGAGTGCAGATTGTTTCAAAAACTTGGTGGGAGCCGACGGAAGTATCGAGATTGAAGGGACCTTGAAAGGCCGACATTTCGGAAATTAATACCCTGAACGAGATACCTGTTGTGAAGACTTCTGAACTGATGTCAAGATTCTGAGGTTACCATATCGACGTGACTGTAAAATTATTTCTGGTTATTGTTACATCTGATGGTCCAACAAAAGTGTTTTTTCCCCCCGTAAAACCTAAAATTGGTGCATGCAACAACTTTCATTTAAATACTGGGAGGTTGGCCACACAAAGCAATTACAAGTCTACGTGCTTAACAAAAGTGAATCTAACTATATACGAATCTAACAAAAGTCTATAACATCTAAACGCATTTTGTTTTGTAAAATGGTAAAAATTATAAACTATTTGAGTTATTTTCATATTATTGTTTATCCTTTATTCATCTTGCCGGAACAATTTCATTCTTCCGCCACACACTTTTGTGTGTGTGACCGTATAGGCTTATCAGACTTATCGAAAGTAACTTTATCTTTGAACATCGTTTCCGTTTGATAAGAATGTAGTTCCGCAAAAAACGTCTTTTCGTTGATATGGATTAAATTTATATTTCCGTTTCCGGCCATTTTTTTCTGATACCTCGAATCGTATCTTTAAGAATCATTGGTGTTACATTAACTCGCGCTTTCGAGGCTGAGGCAGGCGCGCAAGGTGTATCATCTCAGACCGGATGAGACTGTTGCACTAATGGGGGAATCGGCGCGACCTCCCGGTATAACATGAGGCTCTAACTGCTGCATCGTTTACGTAAGTGCCCGTATAATTCAATTCTGCTGGAATGCTGAACTTGATGTTTATATATTACTGCAGGATAGTTAAAAGATGAATGAAATAAACTAGGTGTAATATTTATGCCAGTAATTAAAACTTGTTCTCAAATTTTTTACTTTCAATTATTTGTTTTTCACAATTTTCCTGAAGAAAATACACTAGGCTGAACATAACATAAATTACAAAGAAGTTCTGGAGGCTAGTGTATCGCATCCATAATGTGAGTACTGATGAGTTGGGGTTATGTTATTTAAGGTTCGTACCGGTTAAGAGGACTCTATAACTTTCTCGTTTTTTTAAGACGTCAATATTTTATAGTGTCGTGTATTTGTAGACAAATACTTTGTATTAAAGACATAACTGACATTTTCCGGGTAGAGGTATACATGTAAACTGACTTTTGATAAAAGAGATGAAACTATATAAGAAACTTTTCGCATAAGAAAGTAACATCGAGGTATTCTGAATCTTTCGTTGATGTTTCACATTGTCAGTTTACACGATAAACCTACTGCCAAATATCCTAACTTTTTAATAAATTAGGTATCAGTAGCCTATAAGTACCATGCACAAAAATAATACGGTATTACCGGAGTAAATATGACAGTACAGTCCGTTGTTTTGACGCAGTCATAAAAACGTTTGAATTACATTACGCGCACCCATTCTGGGATAAAATGCTTATATTAAATGGGTAACAATTATTTCTTTAAATACTGTGTTAGTTTGCACGATAATAGTATACTTGAAGAGCTAAACCAGAGATAAGAAAGCACACAGCCCGTACAGTATATGAAAGATTCTAAATTAAGAAATGGACAACGGAAGTCGGTAGAGGAGACAGGCTCGTAAGCCAAGTTGGTATCAACGTGTGTCCGAAATGTTCTGGCTTGTAGTCAAAATTCTTTCCGGTGTTTTCCCCTTTTTAGCCTGTTTTGTGCATTTATGTATGCGTCCGTGTTGGGGGGGGGGGGTTAAATATATTAAAACCAACATTAAACATCTTTCATACTCACTCGTTTGTCGCTGCCTGATAAGTTGGGGTCGGTTCGGATGACTTTTAAAAAGATTAATCCGTTCAGCACGACCACCTGGAAAATGCAAACACCAAAAGGAACAGTTATAAATAACACTTTTAAACATGTTTTTGACAATGTGAATAATTACGAGATCATTTCTACTTCCATCATGACACAAACCTTTGACAAATATGACTGTATGGAGAAAAAACTCCAACGCAGTGATCCAAGAGGCGTCTTCAACTTTTCAAACCCTTAGGCTGAGCGGTCGACACTTCAGAACGAAAAAACAATACCAAATGAACCGCTATAGATAAATTTAAAACAAAAAAACCCGAAAGGAATCAAACTAAATGGCTATGATAATAAATTTCTTACAGACAAAAATTCCAGATTGCTAATTGAAATTGAAGCAAACTCAAGCAGTGGAGTACTAAAAATATTTGAAGCAGTGCAGAGGTGTATACGTACGTAAATGCGGTGTGGTGACTAAATTAAAACCTGATTGACTTTGAAAATAACTCAAGATCTTTGACAATTGTAATGTAATCAGACGGGGCCGATGAAGTCACGGCGGTATACGGCAAGGAGACAAAACCGCAGGAGGAACGTTGAGTCAATTGAGCGGGCAAGGAGCCAAGGGATTGCGGGTCTAGCCCGGTAATGCTGACCGGAGATCGACGCAAATCAAAGGCATCCTCTTGAGCATGCAATTGCCGGTGAAGACACAGCCAAAGAACAGTGGGAGAAAGGGAGAGGTGCTAAGTCATCAGTCAACCAAAACCGGCCGTCATCCTCGGTGACGAGAAGTTGGAGAAAGTTTCTGTGTTCTCCGTGGGCAAAACAAACTTCAGTAATTTTTTAGGAGATGACGTTCCGGTGAAGGAGAAACTGGAGCCAAGTAAAAGAAACTTGACCTTCATGCGAAGATTCGAAAACGATTATCTGAGGCTATCAAGGTCTATACTGGGGCGGTGATAAGAAAAATATACATCAAACCCCAAAACCCAAAATAAAGCAAATCAAGACAAATCAATTAAAAACAATTTAAAACTTATGAGAGAGTCTCAAACGAACCTCAAACTTTCACAAAGAGCGAGCATATAAGGATTAACATTTATATCTTATGGCTTAACTTCAAATTTGTGCTCGTCCAAAATGCATGGACGGGCTAAAAAGGCACGGGGATCCATACAAATAAAATCCTTAAAAAGTAAAATATAAATTTCAGTTTTGTTCATGCAGGTTTGCAGGTATCTCTTAGGGTGTTCTTTGTTGTTTACTAGTTAATGCACAAAATGTTTACTCATGCATGTCCAAGCGAGAAAAAACCGTTTCCATCTAACTCCGCCTTAACGGGTTTTAGATGCTATTGCCTCCCGACTGATGTTCCAATGCACCACGGTGCCAAATTCTTTCGTAAACGGTACGTAAAGAAACGAAACAACACTGTCTTGTCGGTGTTCAAAATAAATCTGCATGTATCCCGGATTAGTCTCCTGATTTAGCCTATAAAGTTTGAACGATTACAATGGAAAACACACCAATATGTGATTGGGTTTTCAGCTCCTGCCTGATTCCGTGAGTTTTCCCTAGAATATTCTTCTGGGGTTTTCCTCCCAGCTCTAAAAAAAAATGTAATTTCTTCTCATTGTCTTCTCTCTACGGGTTTCTTCATGCTTGTGAGCTACAGTGCCGAGGAATCCTTGGTTTCATTACCAGAAACAATGTAATAATAATAATAAAATAATAATAATTTCCCAAGCCTTTATTGGAGACCTGTGGGTTTTGAAATGATTGCAATTTTTATGCTCAACTTTTCCCCTTTTTTTGGACATCACTCTTAGCAGTATGAATGATCATCCTGCTTCTAAATGAATGCATTTGAAGCAAAACCAAAAAAGAATGATTTTTTTTAAAGGGAAAAATATCGACACGTTTTCCCGGGGTTATCAGGAAAAAAATGCAATAATAACAATGACGCAATCATCCACAACACATAACGAAGGAGAACGATGGTCATCTATCGAAACTATATATGCATTGTGTCACAAATTCTTCAACAGAGATGATTTCCACGAATTAGTGAGACACTTACGATATTAGAGTGGCATCAGATCCTGTTGGAAACATAGAGCCATTTTTGTTTCACATTGTTTATAAAAACCAAGAAATACGAACTGAAAAGAAAAAACCTCGCACATGCACTGAAAGAGATATTAACCAGAAATAACGTGAATGATAAAGCAAAGACGCTAAAAATCTCGCAAAATGTTTCACATTTATATCAATAAATTATAAAACAGTTGATGAAATAGGTCTACAGCAGTCAATCGAGATATTTGGTGCACACCCTGAATCCCATTTACGACGCATCGGACAAGCACACGAACGAGGAGGGGCCAACAAACACGTATACCATACAGAACATCCATGAACATAACAGTACCCCCAATGATGTGCTCCAACCCATCTTAAACGAGAATGAACCAATCCAAAAGACCTCATTCACGGGGCAGCCATTTTAGATCGTGTTCCCTGAATCTATTTTTTAAATTTTAAACTGTTGAATGGGATGGTGCCAGACTATTTTATGATTGGAGTGCGTGCCAATCTTTCAATGTTTGTTTTTTAAATGTGGTTTAAACATTAGGGTATGTTCAGTAACAACTTTTAAATTATTCATCAGGGCAGACTGGTATTAATTTGTAATGAACTTTATTTTATTGCTTTCATTTCTACTCGCAAGTTCAAAAAATGAGGATTTTACCTCGCTTTTAATTCCATATGGCCGACTTGTGAATAAAGTCTTTCGGGTTGGATGTTCCACACGCAGTAAACCTGACAATGATGCGTTGTTTAATTCATATGGTACGTTATCTGTATCACAATGCACCATTCCGAGAAGAATACAATTACCACCTGAGATGTTCTGATCACAGAAAATACCCGTTTGATTCCTAAAGGCCGGTTCATATACCTCACGCGAATGCGAATTTGACATCACGAAACATTCGCAAAGCGAACTTCTCCGGAGCTGATGTTAATAAAATCCCGACTATTTTTTGCGAACTCGCAGCGCGAAAACTTGGCATGACGTCATGAATTCGCGTTCGCGTTGAGTATATTAAGAACAGGTGTCTTATGGTTTCGGGGAAATATGAAACAATTTAATCAATTAATTTAAGAATACACTTCCAGGATTCACCTGTGACGTTAAGAAACGCAACTTCACCAACAACTATAGCGAGAAACAACATTGTTTTCGAGTTGAGGCACTAAAGGCAGGCAAAACCAACGACATAATATAATAATTGTTTATCAGTCCGGACGACGGAGAATCGCACGTGCGACACTCCATGCACGCACGCCAAACTACTTCATCAAATCTTTTCAAACTTCGTTTACGTAAGCAACTTCAATTACGATAATACCGGAGACTTTTTTTGCCGTGTCTTCGTTGTTGTCGTGTATTTATTTCCTCGGGGCGCGAGTATTTAAATTTGAGCTTCTTGATTGACACCGTGCGGTTGTATTCTGTGCGTGTGCGGATTGTGACACTTCATTTCGGCAATAAATTTTGGCTGGATTGTTGTTTGGACTTACAAGTTGACGAATTGCTTTGAAATAGGAGTAGGTGTGCAAGATGTCCGTTGTATCTGTTGTTAATTTGAATTGGTAAGGCCGGGATAAGATGCTCGGCTTGCTAAATGAATTATGATCATACTGTATAAGGATCATTACATTTTGTTTCAGGTGTATGTGGGCTCAATTTCCTTCATAATTATCGGATCTATCATCGTATGTACCAGTACACTGCTAAAATTTCTAAAATATTCAGAGGTTTGTGTGTATAATAAGGCAAAACAAATTAAAAAAAAACAACGAAAAAAACACAGTGGATACCCAACAATTGTAATGGCTTGGATAAGGGTTCACTGAAAGATTAAGTTTCTACTTTTGAAAAAAACCTTTGGTTTTAGGCCTACACTAGTTAAAAACTTTTTCTATGCGTTTGTAATTTTTGATCTTCGTGGATCTGTTTGATCAATTTTGACTGTTTTTACAATTTCTGTTTTAAAAAACCAACGTTTTTCTGTCCCTACATGCTTCAACATTCACATGTTTTTTTTTATAAAGATGAATGGATTACATTATGGAACAAGCTGCTCACGAAATTAACTTCTAACAACCTGTCGTTATAAGAAAGGGTTTTTTTCAGCATCGCTATTTCACTTTGATCTGATTATATGAATCGACGGTGGATGAGGGAATATAGCACCAGAAGTAAGCATTGGTATTTAGCGATATATTGTTCAATTGTTTTTGTTTAGTCTTGGGCAAGTCATTACTAGAGGACTGATTAGAGCAATTCAATCATTCTTAGATTATTTATCACACATCCAAATAACACAATGGAAATTAAATGTTTTATGTCAGCGATTTCCACAGATTCATCCCATATCTCCTAAATAAAAAAGAAATCATCTACTTTTCTTATCTGCTGTTCCAGTATAAGTAAAGAGACATGTTCAAGAGAGCACTGAGTACAAAAGAGCTGGCAACTTCCGTATAGGTCTACCTAAATGTTTTCCAAAACAAGGCAGGACTTCAGAATGACTGAGAATTTTGTTCGTAAACATTTTTTAAAAGCGGAGGGGTAATCGGCGGATATTACGTATTCCATTAATTCCGATTTCTACGATTCCTTCCATTTCGGGGATATTTTTATCACGTCAAATAATTATCCCTTCTTCTCCACCGGATACATTACTTGAACACGACTAAAAAGACGTAACTTCAGCCATATCGGATGTTATCGTTCAGCGTAAACAGAAAAAAGAGTAGAAAGGATGGATCGCATCCTCAAGGGAAGGCGATGTTGTACGTAAACCTGCCTCTAGAATTTGGTCTAAAAGGAAAAAGCTGAGCTAGAATTATCATTTCCGGATAAAGCAAAACATGGTCCGTCCAAAGCACGAGATAGCGGCGAGGCAGCCTTGCCTTATGACGTGGAGTCATCTAGCGACATGTGCATGGCAGTCTGCACCGTAATCACCCAGCCT